TTCAAACAAAGCATTTATAAGCCAGAATGCATGTTATTTCTTTAAAAGATTGAAACATTCAATTGGATTGTTTCTCCTCACTACAAACACATCCCCTTATTTATCATTATCAATAGGCTAAACAATAAAATAGCCCAACAGCATGAGCAAAAGGTTGACTACAAAGGAAACAGGCAGAGACAAAGGGGAAACAATGAGCTGCCATTTTAAAATATGAAAGCCTAATTCAATGATCTACAATTGGTATTTTCTTGTGTGTTTACTATATGCGGGCCATAGTGACAGCTGTTGGGAGGCATCACTAAGTAGTCTCACACATCCTTCTAGCTTTTATGTCTGCAGTGAATACAGTGCTTATGGTAGAAATGAAGGTCTTCCAGACTTCTGTTAAATGGAGAGAAAATTATCCCATTGGTAGACCTCAAGAAGTAGCAATGGTAGATGTGTGGGAGATGGCAAAAATACAGTGCCTGAATTCACCTCCATGGGCCTCTTGCGTTTTAGTGCTGGTAGAGGCTCCATAGGAGGTTGATTATAAGCTACAACATTATGTTCTGAATCTAATTTTAATAAATGACCTTTGACCTACTTTGAATATATTGAAATTATTGTAAATGAGAAATGCCCTATGTTTTGAGGTGGGGGGAAGCAAGACTTAGCAAGCTTCTATTTGATTGAGCTTCAGAATTTTCCAGCACTGTTAATATGAGTGTAAATAGGTCCAGTCATTGTTAAGGTTCAAAATTTTAGGTAATCATCCTAAGTATATATGTAGGGATATTCACAAAGGTAAGTGAATCTGCTGATTTCCCAAATCTAGAAGCCATGTGAGGGTCAGCAAAATTATAGATAGGTAGAATTGTAATTTAACAATAGGGAGATTTTGAGGGCTTCAAATTAAGAGTTCAATTATGTTGGATTGTCTATTTAGGTATCTAAGTGGAGAAGTTGAACAGTCAGCTGGAAATGAATTCTCAAATTGAGGAAAGGACTGGCCTAGAGATAAACACCTGCAGTAATCAATATGGATAATGTTTATACCCAGAAAAATGGTTCAGAGGGTAGAAAGCGCATGCCCCCTAGGCAAGCTTGCCAACTTGAGTTTGATTCTTAGAAACCCACATAGTAGAAAGAGAGAAATGCCTTTCACAAGTTTTCTGACATCCACCCTCATGTGGTGGCCTGCATCTTCTTGTGACACATATACGGACATACATTAAATAATTAAATATAATAAAAATTGTATTGATCTTTAGTTAATACATGGTAAGGTAAATAGTAATATATGTGACTATCATAAATGATGACACCAAATAGTAGTTATGTAAAATGTTACAGAATTTTATTGTGACATGAAACAATGACAGTATCACTAAATGAAACAAGTGAAGTACTGACCTGGTAAGTTAGTTCTGTAATCTCAGCCTACTGGAGGCCGAGGCAGGAGGATTGCCATGAGTTTGAGGCCAGCTGGAGCTACCTAATGAGTTCAAGTATGGCCTGGACTACAGAGTGAAACGCTATCTAAAAACCTTGAAAACAAAACCTCAAATAGATTCAAAGCAGTGTGAATAGTATGGTTGCTTCTCAATTTGAAATGCTTGTTTATTTTTAAAACGTTATGAACAGGCCAGGCGGTGTGGCACATGCCTTTAATTCTAGCACTTGGGAGACAGAGGCAGGCGGATCTCTATGAGTTTGAGGCCAGCTTGGTCTACTGAGCAAGTTCCAGGACAAGCCAGGGCTACAGAGAGAAAACCTGTCTCAAAAAAAATCAAAGAATAAAAAAATGAAATTATAAAAAGTAATAGTAATAAATAATAATAAAAATAAATAAATAATAATGAAGATAAACAGTAATAATAAAAACTTATGAATAGTGGCTAGGTAGAATTGCCATTTACCAATAGGGGGTTTTAAAGGCTTTAAATCAAGAATTCACTTAAGATGAATTGCCTGTTTAGACATCTAAAGGAAGAAGTTGACTAGCCAGCTGGAAATGAAGTCTCAAATTTAGAGGGGAGGACTGGACTGGAAACACACAACTGGGATACCCAGCCTGTAGGTGATGTTTCTATACCTGGGTACTGGTAAAGAGCTAGTGAAGAGAGACAGAGTCTTAGTTTTGAACAATGAGGATCCAACCTAGAGAGGATGAAAGCAAAAGAGCTTATCTGAGCCAGTAAGAGCTGATTCCTATCAAGGAAACAGAAACAGTCAGTGCATATTAGGTTCTTGGAACTCAGAGGCTTAACTAAAGACTGTGTTACGATGGCCACTTGGTGGGGTGGTAATTCTGTTTAAACCAGCGGAGAAGGAAAATAAAAAGAAGCTGCTTTTTAAGGAAATGATGAGTTTGCTTTTAGAAATGTTTTGAGAAATCTAGACATTATTGGGATGAATGTTCCACTCAATGAGAGTAATCAGGCCGACTTCTAGATGTAGAGTTACCCATATGCCTATTGTTACTGGTCCAGTACTGTGACCATTCCTTCTCTACTCGTCTCACTTATGATGATGGATGAAAAGGGTTAGATGATACAAAGCTCCATCATTGTAAATAAGTTATTCCTTCTTCTGTTCATTGTATGTAGCTAATTTGTTTCTTGTAAAAGGCGCTCACTATGAGAACAATTAGGAGGCAGTAATCAAAACTGAAATACCACACAAAAAACATTTCCCTCTGTATTTGCTTAGACATTTCCTCATACATAATACAGAAAGAAGAACCAAAATGATGCTAGGTGAACAATAGAAACCACAGGAAGCTTCACATTGATAGCTTATAGTTTGCATGATGCTAAACTCTTAATAATGTATTTATTTATTTATAAGCTCATTAACACCAAAAGCCTATATCAAAGTATAACATTAAACAATGTTTGAACATTTATTTTATGTCCATGTATGTAAGTGTACCATCTGCATGTCTGGTGCCAGTGGCGATCAGAAGAGGGGGTTTTATATTCTAGAACTGCAGTTATGGAAGCCTGTGAACTACCATGTGGGTGTTGGGAACCAAACCAGGTCTTCTGCAAGAACCAGTGTTCTTAACCACTGAACTATCTCTCCAGCCCCCAAATAGACTCATGGTTTCTGTATCACTTTTGGTTTTGGTATTTTTTGTCATACTGATATTTTTAGTTTGTTTATATTTTAACTTTTGCTTTTTGCTTTTTTTTTTTTTTGCTTTTTCCTCTGTTTTTTCCTTTCTTTGTTTCTTTTTTTTAGAGGGGGAGTGGAGAAAACATGAAATTGGGTGGTTAGGTAGGTGGGAAGAATCTGGAAGGAGTTGGGAGAATGAGAAAGAGGAAAGAATACAATCAAAATATATTATATGAAAAAAAATTAATAATTTTTTTAAGAAGAGAAGATCAAAGTATAACATTACTATTTGGCTTTCAAATGAAATTTACTATTTCATTTCATTGGTTTTGCACGATATTTTAATCAAGAATCATAAAAATGACCACTAATGTCTACCAATTCCAACTCTAATCAGACTGCTAAGAAAAAAAACAGTAGGATCTATGGTCATTTGTAATTATGGTCTAAAGATAAACTGACCTGAAGTTGGTTGAGTATAATTATATAAATTTCTTTGATTCTAATAAACTCAACAGCTGGATGTTAATTGTTTTCTGTGAAATTTTCCATTGTTTCTATGATCAAATATTTTTTTCTGTGTGGAAGATTTCAGAAACTGGGAAAACATCCTTTTAAAAAGTGATATGCACCGAAAAGTTCTTGGGAGAAAAACATGAAAATATGAATTTTATGGAAGTTTTATTCAAACACGTATAGCATTGGGCTAAGTACTTTATTAACACTGACTTCAGTCTCATGAAGGAGGTGGAATTATCTTCACATTTGCAGTTATAAAAACCCTAATTTCAGGTGCGGACTTCCAAAGGTCCCATAGGTGTCACGTATGTATGCTTGATTTTGAAAGCAAGAATATCTGGTAGCCAAGCTCAGCATACTCTCTTGGGAGCACCATTGATCTATAGTGGTTAATTGGTATGATTAGATTATCTGCCTCAAATTAAACTTTTTTCTAAAAGAAAAATCTTCAAATTCATTTCTCTTGATTTAGGATATATGTAGAAGAAACTGATCAGTGAAGTCGCTGAAAAGTTAATTCAATTTCTTAAGATAAACTGTAGCAGGTTTTTTGTTTGTTTTAGATCCTTCACTTTTCTGTTTCTGTCCAACCCCGTAACCATAGGCTGTCTTGTGAGATAATGAGTGACTCATAGTAAACAATAAAAAACTAGTTAGAGGAAGCTGCATGTCCATGTAATTGAGTATATTCTTCTATAGCAATGGAGAGTCCGGCTACGCCTGGGCTAACATTATTATAAGAAAATTTTCAGAGTGGTGATGAGAATAGAAAGTTGAGGTCAGTCTCTGTTCTTGAAGACACTGGCTTTGACAGCACATGACTTCTGTTTTCCTAAGCATGTCCTCGAGAATCTCTGCTAATCTGGTGGTTTGAATACACAGCAGAGCTCATTACATGCCCGGTGACTTATCTGTAAACTTGTGAGAGGAGATCGACCAAAATGCTCTTGGGCCTGGAGCTTACATATCTTTGGGGACTTCTTTAAGTTCTCAAGTTACAGAGTTTTACAGAGGATTCTTGTCAGTTACGGCCCCAAATTTAAGTTGCCTTGGATTCGTAGTGAATCTTCATCCATTGCAAAGGAGACAGTTGATTGAATATTTTATAACTGAGGGAGCTATAACATGCCTCAACGTTTCCCATCAAAATGAAAAGGCTATGTGAAAATGTCACTGTTTTCTCACCTGATTATAATTTCCTCTTTGAGATAAGTCTGGTGCAATTGCAATTTGGGAAAACATTAAGAAAAAAAAAAAAAAGCTGGAGTGCTCAAACGCCCATGTCTTCCACAGCATTCCTATGTCATCTCTTCAGTGAATCTACCTGTCACTATACTGATGGAGCTAAGATTTGGAGCAGGCAAAGACTATCTAAATAACGATATGATGTCACTGTAGCCAGGGACAGAAGTAAAAGTAAAACGCTTTTGTTTCATGACAGGATCCATGGTCTTAAGGCTAAAAATAATTTTGGGTTACTATTTCTCAAAGAGGGCAATCAGTGAAAAAAATAAATCAGGATTTCCAAACAAGTCATCATATTACAAGGAGCTTTGAGCTCCCTAAAATGGCCGAACACAGCTAGTAAACGACAAGTGATTTTTTTTTTCTCATGCTGCTGAAAAAAGATGAGTCGGATTTACCTCAGCAGTGGCTGGCTTGAAGTGCCATGGGGAGATGGTGACTTAGGTATGGTATAGATCTTTATGAAACTGTGTATATATATATATAGAAATGTTAAACTGTGAATGTTTTTGGTCTGGCAAGGTGATATTTCCAAAGCAGAGCAGGCTCTTACCCTGTAATAATAAACCAGATGTCTGGGAACTAGTGCCGTTTCTAAATATAGATAGTCACCCCTGCATAGCTTCACAGACAGTAGCAGTATGAATTTGATTAGCATAATGAAATTTATGTTTTGTAAAAAAAAATTTCATACTGATAATTTATCTGGTTGAGTTAAGCTGAACATTTTTCAAGTAAGGATTTTTTCCCTTTATCCTAGATACTCAAAGTGTAAAAATTTAAAGATTACAAAATAGCTATATATTAAGATGTTTATATTGTTTGATCTTGGGAAAAAATATATAAAAATAATAGAAAGTATGTTCATATGGTGAAGTATGATATTTAATGTTGAATATATTTGAATACATACTTGTAGTTGCTAAATTTCTGATATTGACAGGGAAAAGCAGCGATGGGTGAAAACATTTTAAAATAGAAATTAGAACATGATCTAATTAATATCCTTTGGTTGTCATGTTACCAAAATTAATTACAGAAATTCTCCTAAGAAATTAGAAGACGCAAATAAAGTGAGGTTGATTGGGAGTTAGTCAAGTGGAATTTAAAATCAGGAACTTTTGTAAATTGTGTAAATTTATAAATAAGTTCTTTAATAGATTGATTCATTTGTTGATTGAGTAATTCATAAAGAGAACGTGTAATGCAGTTACTTATGTCGGCCAAGATGGGAGCAGTTGTTCTGAACATCAATACAGTCATTAAGATGAATACATCATTAGACTGCAGAAGAAAGCCGGCTGGAAGGGATGTGGAGGAGCCCTCCACTTTAAACCTTGTTAGCTTTGTTGATTATTAAAGGTCTTCACAATGCTGGAAAGGACTGGGCCTAAAACAAATGTCAAAGGTCGTTTTTCTAGGCCTCTGTCAATCTTAATATCTAGTTGTCTTAGCTAGTGACCATGGGAAAGTGAGTAGTCATAATGAAGTAGAATCATATTACTTGGTGTCTGTCTTTAGGATAAATAAAAAATCCTGAACTTTATTACATCATTAAATAGGAACTAGAACCCTGACATTGTAAATATTATAAATGATTGAATTCAATCATATATCTAAGCATTGATTATTTGCAACTCAGTGATTTCCTACCTCTCTGTCGATGAAACTGAGTGCAGTGGTTCCCAGTATGCAATTTATTTTGAGAGGTAACATGATTTTCATATTTTCTTGTTTGATATTCACAGTAAGAATTGATCTACATTTTGAAGTCCTCAAGCATTTCATTTTGCATTAAAATTTTTAGTGACAAAATAAACAAATGTGGATGATTTAGGAGCCATCACATTTCATCTTGGGATCTCGGTCACAGCACACATAGGGAGGTCAGAAGACAGGCAGTGGGAGTTGGTTCTCTCCTTCAGTTGTGGGTTCCAGGGATCCAACTCCAGCTGACAAACACCCTTGCCCACTGGGCCACCTCACCAGCCATGAAATGATTTTCCTTTCTTTCTTTTTGTGAATGGTGGATGTGCCTGGTTGTATGGCAGTTTGCATGTGTGTGGGTATGCATACAGGTAAAGTGTTTAGACTACATGGAAAGTGCTTATACTAGCATCATACATATAGTGCATCTCTTTAACTGTTGCCACCAGGATTTATAAGTAAACAGTAAAGAGAAAATGTACTATTTGCCTCCTCTACCTTAGTACTTCTATTTTCAATAAAATACTATTATGTCATTAGGTATAAAGATACTGTTGAGTGGCAAGTGACCTTGACCCTGTGTCGGGCTCATGTGCTTACTTATTTTTCCTTGTCATATGAATCTAGACTTTATTCAGTGGATTTATTTCAGTGTCATTTACAGGGGTCTGGTTAAGCTTCTGGAAAGATTATAATACTGACTAATAGGTAGAATCAAGTGGGCTTTTGAATTCTCTAGAAGGTGGAAATAATGAAATCACTTCTAAAGTACAGCATTCTTCTGTACTTATATCACCAATAATTTTATAATATAAACAAATTGTAGCTAGGAATTTCATAAAACTTGCATTGTTGACTAATATCCAAGTGACTTTATATCAGTTTATGTAGTAAAATTAACCAATAGCTTTAAAATATGTATTTATCTTATCCTGTGGATTTAACAAGCAAAGAGGAGTAGACAGGATGATAGATATTAGTATCCATAATTATACTATTTTATGAATATTTTTTAGTCAGTGTCGCTTTTATTTCTTAAATTTTCTTTAAATAATTGTTTTTCTGGCATGCCTAGTCTGTTTATTTAATCACTTTAAAGCCTATATTATTATCTTTAATATCCATTCAATTAAACCAATAGAGACAGGACTGGGGCTCTTTTAATTGCAGGAAAATCAGAGTGAACCAGGCCAGCATCCCTTTTAACTGCTTGAATGACCACAGGGGGAGAGAGAGAGAGAGATAGGAGCAGTTGATGAGTCTCTTGGAGCCAGAGGAGAGGAGAGTTCATGCAAGAAGACTACTTTTCCTCATGGGTGGGATATAAAAGACATCCAAGAAAAGGAAATTGAGGGGAATGACATCTAGGTTGTGAACTAAGTGTCCTGGCCTATCCATACCCAATACACAGAGAATGGGTGACCTACCAGGGAGCCTTTGACAATATTAGCACCATTTCCAAAACAGTTCACCCCATGTCCCCTTTGGTAAGCCCTTTCTAGGACCTACCTAGGCTACGCCATAATTCAGACTTGGGCCTCAGCTACTTGACCTTCTTAGCAACATGTTGCAGCCCGTACACATCAGGACCAGTACAATCAGAAGCCTGGGGTTAGGAGAGGTAATAGGGCAGGCTTACAATGTGAAGACATCAATTTGGCTGCTAGCACTACTAAAAATGCAGTAAAAACATGCATTTCTGCTTATATGTGGTGAAGCATGTAGTCCAAACTTTGTGCCTTTTGTGTGACCCATCCTCTTTGACTAATAATTCAATAGATACTGTAAGTCTGATGTAAGTCAATTTTAGAGCAAATACAGCACTCTGAATTCACAAACTCATTACTTTCCTGAAGGATCAAGTTTCCTAAACTATGAGATTAGTCACTGGGTCACTTTGTGGAATGCTGGATGTGAATAACTTACATCGAGCCTAATAGAGTTCAGGTTGAGCCACACAACCATGTTGTCATTCTTTTTCGACAGGTTCATGGGCAGATCGATCACCACTGCATGAAGCTGCAAGTCAAGGTCGCCTTCTTGCTCTGAGGACATTGTTATCACAAGTAAACTATTATATTATACTTCAAAATAAGCTCCCTTCCCTTGAGCATAGAATATTGTCAAAGCAAATCCACTTGAAAGTCATAAACTTTCTTAAGTGTTACTACTGTTCCTTCTTTATAACTTGTGTCAGACAATAGTTTTCTGTTTTACATTTGGAATTCTTTCCTGAGTGTTTTGTTATAATGCTATGTCTCCCTATTTCAAGTTTCTCTTACAGTATATTTGGTCATTAATATGGATATTTTGAAATTAGTTATTGTATTTATGTGTTACTTATTAAACATTCTAAATATGCTTTTTTATGTAGTATATATTATAGACTTGGTTCAGTCATATGTTCCCAGAGTGGTAATCAGACCAGATGTGAAAACAGCATTTTTTACATTGTAGTAATTTATGAAATGCTATGGTGAATTGTCTGCGAAGTCAATAGAATGTTCATTTCTATACCTGCCTACTTCACCTGAGTGAGCAGAGCGAGAAAGAAAAGCATAGATCCCTCCTGCAAACAGAAAGTGACCGAGCTTGAATTGGTGCATTACATACTGTCACCTTCCAGGCCAACTTAAATGTATACTCAGTGTAGGGGCATTAGTGATTCCCAGTGTCACAGAGAAAGCACTTTCTTAGATGGTTCTGAGAAAGGAAGGTTCCTAACAACATCGTTCGAACAACACCCGACACTTGAGGCCACCACAGTCTACCCGAGTTTCATTTTCTCACCTGTAACATGAAGATGTGTCCAAGGTGTTCCCTTGGAGTGTCCAGTCCTGTGACAGCCATGTGACTGTTCTGCTCATCACTTCACGGTGGGGGGAGGACCTGTGTAAAAAGGTCAGTGGTTTCAAAGAATAATCCCTTGGAGAGGGTCACATAGTGTTTTCAGAGGAAGGCAGTCCCGGTGTTTCTCAATGTGTCTCCTCCCCAGGGCTGATGCCAGCCACGAAGAGAGCAGCTCCCGCAGAGCCCTCTCACATACTTCCATCATCTGCACACTAGGATGTAGCAGCATCTCCTCAAACCAGAGTGCTTATGAGGAACTTGGAAAGGATGAGGACAGGGTTGATAAAAATTCCACTTGCTAGCAACAAAGATACAGTGTGATTGCCTCTGCCTGTGCCTTCATGTGTTTCTGTGTGACAGCTTATGACACGCTGTACTATGCTAGGAAGAGCTTGCCTTGAAACATCATATATAGTTCTTGATGAAACGATCAATAATAGGCAATGAATTACTAAGGATCACCAGAAGGCAAAGACTCTTAACATCCTAATAATTTTATATGATTTAGCCTGATATTGTAAGCTTAATTGGAGCACAATGCTTATTAAGCTAGAGAATGAAATGAAATATCTTATTTTCTACCCACTGGGAACTGTAATAGTTGCTGTAAAAGTATTACCCCATTTAATTCTCATGACCACCCTAAAATTTAGAACTCAAAATATTTGTGCAAATTACCATGATTATTGTGAGTCATCCTTTAAACACAAGTCTAATTTTGAGGACATAGTTCTCAACCTTACTATATAACTTAATCCTATCTATTAAGTGGATAACTACTTAGTGACACATTCATAAATAATTTACTAAAATTTATTTTTCCAGTCTGGATTGACCACTAATTTTATGATCACAGTCAAAACAAGTTGTCCAGCTTATAAAAAGTCTTTAACTCTATAAAATAAAAAATAGAGAACTAGCATCCCACCAAAGATCTTAAGAAAACAAACTGTAAAGAAAATGTGCCAGAATCTATTAGCAAAATACTTAACATTATTAGGTTGATGGTGCCACAGCAATGGCAGACTTCTTCAGCCTCAATCATGTTTGTGAACGGGACACATTCCAATGATTACATGTTTATAGGCACAGTGTAATAAACTGTGTTTATAATGTATAATGACCAAATCAAAGTAGCTAACAGTTCCATCTGACACATTCTAAATTTTATTAACTCTTAAAATTGTGCATATTTGTTGAGTACAGTATATTTCAACACATGTATTCACTGTGACTGGGCAAACCGGAATAACTGATTTATATTAGTTACTTTTCTCATTACTGAGACCAATTATCCTACAAGAAACTGAGGAATGGTTTGTTCTGGCTCACGCTGTCATGTGGGGGAGGCTGGGTGGCTAGGGCTCTGGCTGGGATTGAGGAGCCAGCTGGCCACACAGCTTGTTGTATTTCCACAAGAGAGAAGCAGAGCAGACTGACAAGAAGCAGCAGGAATATAACCATAAACTCATCCTGAATGAAAGCTGTCTGCTTCAGTCAGTTAGGACTTTCCTCTTAAAAGCTCCAGGACATAACTACAAGTAAAAATGAGATACAGAGTATTCAATAAGCAACTGACACAGAAAGACAAAGACCATGTGTAGAAAAGCTTTAAAATGTTGACTTGAAGACAGAAAAATGATTAGCTGAAATTAAAGAGCTCTAGAACACAGTCAGATGACGTCACGTAACCTAACATGTCTACTGTGCATAACTAGTGAGAGGGACAGGGGTTCAACAACTGACCGGCTCAACTGCTACACTGGAAGCCGACTGGCTAGATTCTCTCACCTCTAAACAATCTCCACGACATTTACAGAGATGATGTTGTATACCTTCTTGTCTCACTGTAGGGTTATAATGTAAATGCGGTAACCATAGACCATGTCACCCCACTCCATGAGGCCTGCCTGGGTGATCACGTGGCATGTGCAAGGACTCTTCTGGAAGCTGGAGCTAATGTAAGTTATGAAAAGAAATTAAGAATTTAACATCTACTGACAGGGAGAACCGAAGATCTCGTTTTATTTTTCTTCCCGCCTTTCTTAGTAGTATTGAAAACATAACAATACAAACAATGCCTCAGCCTTCTCAGGACACCTGCAGAGGAATCCCAGTCATTGTGTAGAGTAGTGTACCAATGATTTTTAGATTTTTTTTTTTGTTTGTTTTGGGGGAATCAAAATAACAACAGATGAGCATCCGTATCTTGCATCTTTACTTATTTTCTGAACAAGTTTCTGAAAATAAATTCTCAGAAATCCTAGGTGTTGGTGCATGCCTGTATTCCTGGATCTTTGGAGGCAGGGTAATGAGGAGTTATATAGTAAGCTGGAGGCTAGCTCAGGCAACATGAGACACACAGACACACACACACACACACACACACACACACACACACACACACACACACAGACACACACACACACACAACCTCAGAATTGAACCAATATCCCACATTTAAATATCCACAAGGAAAGTAGCCTCATTATTTCCTTCACCTTTACTTGTTTCTCCCCTTTTTGACTTATTGTTGAATGTGTGTGAATTCCATACTTGAATACTGGTTTTTCAATGAACAATAGTAGGCTGTCCGTACTTGTGACTTTTCTTCCACATCATGTTTCTACTTATCTCTTGAAGAATGAAAGCTTCTCTCATTGATGTGTATGAAGCAAATACGCATTGTCATATGTACAGGTGCACATTTCCCAATTAGCATATCATGTAATTTTAGCAACACATAAACAAGTCCCTTAGTCCTGCATGATTTATGAATCTCATTCTCGGATTTTGGGTTTCCTTTAGGCAAATGCGATCACGATAGACGGTGTGACTCCCTTGTTCAATGCATGCTCACAAGGCAGTGCAAGCTGTGCGGAACTTCTTTTGGAATATGGCGCCAAAGCACAGCTGGAGTCCTGTTTCCCATCTCCAACACATGAGGCTTCAAGTAAAGGTTAGCTACAGGCTTATGTTAAGAAGGGAAAATATCCCTGGACATGCATACCCCTATTTGTCTTTCAATGAATGCTACTTCTGTGGGAAATATGAGTGGAGGTACATGTTCAAGAGGAGAGCATCGGCAGAAAATAAAGCTGTCTTTTCTTTGTGTTGGCAGGTCACCATGAATGTCTGGACATTTTGATATCCTGGGGCATAGATGTTGACCAAGATATTCCTCACTTGGGAACTCCTCTTTATGTAGCTTGTATGTCTCAACAGTTCCACTGCATCTGGAAGCTTCTTTATGCTGGTAATTTTCCATTCTGTCCACACTCGGATAATTATTTGTTCATCCAACTAAGCTTCTTTTAAAAGTCATATCTCATTGTGAAAATATTCTTATTGTAAACATTATTACCTATGCATACATAATCTATTAAAGAAACTTGTCTTTGATGAGACTACTTCAAAGCTCATAGATGAGTACACACACTCTCTACAGGCTGCATCTGAGTCATCAATATACCGTTGGTTACATAATTGAGCCATTCCTTGTAATCAGTCATAAAATTAAGACTCTCCAGACTGAATATAATATTGCTAAGTATGTAAACAAATCCCACAAAGACTTAGTACTTAGATAACCTTATTGCCTATCAACCATAAAAACCCATGGACTGTCCCAGATTTTGTACTTTCTGTCCTACTGCTTTAAAAGGCTCACTGTTTTCTCCACTAAGTTCCTCAAAGCTCAGCTTTTGCTCCATGAGAAACAATCCTAACCAGTTGAGAATTTGGTGGTCTCTCCCACGTTAGAGCTGGAACTCCTTGGAGATGATTTGTGCCTCTCCTTATCACCTGTTTTCTCTAGAATAGTGCTTCTCTGTTGTGTGGTAGGTACTCAGGATATTCATGAATGAGACACTAGGCTTTTGTGGTGTTTGTTTGTAACTAAAATATACTATTTACTTTCAGTATATTCACACATATAATTTTAGCAACCCCTTAACGTATTACTCACATTATCTTACCTGGCCAATAATGTCTTATAAGCAGGACTTAACATTCACTGTTTTATTCACATTGCACATAGAATTTTAAACATGAATTCTGTTGCTATTGCTAAATTGTTATTTCCTAGACAAATTGACCATACATTTAGTATAACAATACAATATATACTTTATCATCCATTTTCATTTATAAAGAAATATTTTTCTCAGTAAATACTTCAACTTATGTTAAAGAACATTTAAAATTGTTGTTAGCAATGGTTGATTGGTTGTTATTTCAGGCCCCCTTTGCTCTTATAAAGTTGATAAGCCCAATGAAGTTTATGATTTCTTTAGGGAAACTTGGCCCAGAGATATTTCTCCACTAGATATTTTATATTTGTTTGAAAATACTGAAAGCGATTCTTTCTACTGAAAGTTGAAAGTACAAGAGAGCTGTGAAGGAACTTAAGATGAACAGATTCTTATGGGTCTGTGTAACTTGAAAAACTATCAGAAAGCTGACTCAGAAAGCATATGTCTTGGTTTCTGACCATTTATATACTAGACAATGGTATTAACATCCTTCTATAGTGTTAAATGCCATCTACTTGTTACATAGTCATTGAATGACTCTTGTGTGCCAGACTTGTGCTAAAATGAATAACTAAGCAATAGAGAATTTTGTATGTCGGCTTAGGTTTTTCAATGAGAACATTTTCAAAAGTTTGAGTTTTTATGCAGATAACGTTGAAGTATTTTTCCACTACTGAGGCCTTATGTCTTTATGTGTTTTTGACTGAAATTACACAAGTGAACACCGACAGGCAAATCTATACACATTTTACCTAAATGATTCACATATTTATATTCATGTTTTCAAAGAAACCAACAAGCTTTCTTGCCTTAAATGAAAAGAATGAAAGCGATATTATTTCAAATAACTTTATGATAAAAATAGGTATGTGTGAATTTAGTCATGCTTTTAGGCTGGTGAGATGGCCCAGTGGATAAGGACATTTGCCTTGCAAGCCTGGTGATATGAATTTGATCCCTGGAGACCATAAGATGGAAGGACAGAACTGACCCCTTGAAGTTGTCCTGTGACCCAAACATGCACGCTATGGCATACACACTTGCACACACACATCTCAAGTGTGCATACACATAGACACACGAACAGTAATAATAAATAAATAAGGACCTTTTCAAAATTATAAATCTCTTTCTTCTGACATCTTTCCAGATATCAGAAAAAATATCCCGAAAAGTATTTCAAAAAAATATACTAATGTGTATACCTCCACATCCAGAGGTAGCAAATTTAAGATTTTATGTATGATATATATCATAATATATACCACACACATATATATATACATATATATAATAACTTGTTACCAATAAAGGTCCTTTATGTACCCTTCCCCAAGTTGTCTTCCTCTCTTTTACATACAAAGGTAACTTTGTATGTAATAATTGCTTTTTTATCATTCCTGTCTGTTTACATACAGGTGCTGATGTACACAAAGGCAAGTATTGGGACACTCCACTCCATGCTGCTGCTCAGCAACCCAGTACTGAAATTGTGAACTTATTGCTAGAATTCGGAGCAGACATCAATGCCAAGAACACAGAACTTTTGCGGCCTATTGATGTGGCTACATCCAACAGTGCTGTAGAAAGAGTACTTCTTCAACATGAAGGTAGGAAGAATATATGGGAATGTTTATAAATGCAAAAATATACTCTCCCAAAATAGATGGAAGTGAAAAGTGCTTTATTACTGTATGAAGTAGCAATGACATAAAATTTCAAGTATTTATTGTAAGAACCAAAAAATTCAACTTGGGTTCTATGCAAGGAAAATATGACCATTTTAAGATTTTTACTGTATCTAAACTTTTATGCTCCCTTAGTAAAATATGTTGAACTTGTTTAAACAATGCATAATATGCATTTTTCCAATGCACTATTTACTTACATGAACTATTTTTAAAAATATTTGAGTGCCCAGCATGGTGGCACACACCTTTAATCCAAGCATTTGAGAGGCACGGACAGACAAATCTGTGTGAGTTCAAGGCCAGCCTGGTCTATAAAGAGAGATCCAGGACAGCTAGGGCTGTTACACAGAGAAAGCCTGTCTTGAAAAACAAAAGAACAATAACAACAATAAAATTGAGAACTGGGTAATTGAGCTGTAGGTCTAGCACACACCACACTGAGACATGCTAGGCCAGTTCTCTACCAATGAGCCAATGAGTCATATTTCCAAGCAGCTGAATCCCCCTCCCCACCCCCAATGCCATCCTTTTTTTGATGTTGTTGTTAGGGTTTCTTATATCTTGAGCTGGCCTTGAACTCACTAGATAGCCAAGGATGACCTTGAAATTCTAATCCTCGGCCGGGGGGTGGTGGTGGTGGTGGTGGTGCATGCCTTTAATCCCAGCATTTGAGAGGCAGAGGCAGGTGGATCTCTGTGAGTTTGAGGCCAGCTTGGTCTACAGAGCGAGATTCAGGACAGGCACCAAAACTACACCAAGAAACCCTGTCTTGAAAACCACTCCCTGTCCCCCCACCAAAGAAATTCTAATCCTCTGAGTGTGCCTCTCAAGTGCTGGGATTACAGACATGTACCAGCAAGCTTAGCGCATGCAGTGCTGTGGATCAAACTAGAACTCCATGTGTTCTAGGTAAATAGTCTCCCCAACCCATTCATTCCCCATTTTATAAGTCATGGTGCATGTTCTGTAGTGTGTTGTAGAAGCATAATAAGGAAAGATTTTTTTCTTACCTTTAAGACTTTTTTCTTTAGCACAATTTCTAAAGGTTAGTTCAGAATATAATTGTAATTTAAAAATGTGCCTTTGTGATACATATCTTGTTTTTTTTTTTTATTTAGAGCTCCTTTAAAGATCAGAATTTGTTCTGAAAATTTCGGTGAAACAATAATTTTATAATCTTGAGGATAAATATGTCTTTTATTATTTATTTGTATTTTGTATGTGTAAGTGTTTTGCCCGCATGCATGTAAGTGCACTGCATGCCTGGTGCCTGCAGAAGCCAGAGGAGGGCACCAGCTCCCCTGGAGTTAGAGTTAAGGATGGTTGCGGGCCATTGCATCCTGTGGTTGCTGGGAACTGAACCCATGTCCTTGTAGGAGCAGCAGGTGCTCTTAAATGCTGAGCCACCTCTCCAGCACTATGAAGAATATAATGTTTTAAAGAGCATGTATGGAACATTTCTCAATCATGAGACAAATCTCACAATCTCACAAGTAAAGGCACTGTAAATAAAGACATTGGTCATTAGCCAAATTCATTCACTGTTTTTATGCTTTCAGTTAATTCGGTTGTCACATGTAAACATTCATTTTACAATAACTATGTCCACGTCTTCTTGTAGCGACCCCAAGCTCTCTTTGCCAACTCTGCCGACTGTGCATCCGCAACAACATAGGAAGACAGCGGTTCCATCTCATCCCCCAGCTCCAGTTACCAACATTGCTGCAGAATTTCTTACAGTATCGATAACACAGTAAATAGTTTTACATTCTTTGAAAATCAAACATTTCTATTTCATTTTCTTTTTAAAGTATAGAATGATATGGGTGAAGACGAGTACAGTTCACCTGGGGAAGCAGTAAAGTGTTAACGAATTTCCATTTGAAGAATACTCATTAGTACTCTTTATGAATTTTTATGGTCTTCTGGATTATAATATGTTTAAAATAGCTACACTATCTTAGCAATCTCAGTGTACCTTCTTGATTTAGGGGAAAAATGAGAGTTTATCCACTTTATGTTTTTTATTATAGAGCAGAAAAGAAAATTGCATACTTTTACTAAATTTTTAATTCAATTGTAAATTTCATACTGTGTTACATTTTGAAGGATCTGTATTCTTCAGATAATGGGTTAACTATAATTTTAGCTACCGCCATTGGTTATCTCTGTGATTTTAATATTGACAAAAAAATTTTTAGAGCAACTAATATGCTTTTTGAAATAAAGATGAATTATACACTTGCTGTTGTAATGATCAATTTACAAGAGAAAGATACTCTTTCCTCCTCTATACAGAGATCTCAAATTTGCTTTCACATAGTAAGTAGTTTGTGACAGACTAAAAAGTAGAAGGACTGAAAGTTAGTCCTGCTCCCACGATGACAGATGTGGGAGGTCAAACACCTGTGAGGACTATTTAAAGACCTTCTCAAGATGGTTCACAAGGTCTGACATCAGTGCTCTCAGATGTTACTCTACTCTTCTAGTTCAAAAACAGTCAGTACCTAGCAATATCAGACTGAAGAAAACGGCCGTCTGCCTCAGTGGTGAAGTCCCCAGTTACATTCTGGGACCATCAGTGAGTGAGTTCTGCAATAACTGTCCCAGAAGAGTGGGTGCCAGGGCTCCCTAACTCTGTCGTGTCTCCACTCTAAGTGACTGGGTCACTCTCTTGATAAGTGAATTCCTTGGCTTCAGTCTTTGAAATAGGGTCGATGGTCAAGGCAGCAGATGAATCCATTCCATATCCTGTTTCTTTTGTTTGACACCAAGAGGAAGAGGGCTTTCTTTCCATAAACAATCACAAGGATCACTACTGCAGGGGTTCTCAACCTGGGGGTCCTGACCCATTTGGGGGAGGGCCAAATGACCCTTGCAGAGGGGTCACATACCAGATATCCTGCATATCATATATTTACATTACAATTCATAACAGTAGCAAAATTACAGTTATGAAGTAGCAATGAAAATAATTTTATGGTTGGGGATCACCACAACATGAGGAACTATGTTAAAGGGTCGCAGCATTAGGAAGGTTGAGAACTGCTGCTCTAGCACAACGAGGTTAGAAGATGAATACTCCCTAAGAGGAAGGTGATATACATGTGTCTTTGACTGGTAAGGAGAGACCTGTGGCTATGACACAGTGCCACCTACAGAAAACACACATCGGAAAAGATAGACGAGCAAATAAAAGATTTTTCCATAGTGTGAGTACAGGTCAGCACAGCGTCCTAAAGATGGTCACACTTACAGTCCTGCTGAAAGCTTTAATTATTCTTGAGAGGGTAATGTCTTGAGTTAATTGTTCACGGAAATGTAGTTTTAAGATGCATGTGATGTGTGGCAGAAGGAGCAGAGCAGCAACATGATGTGTGGAAGTCTGTTTTCTGGCTGCAGTATCATGAACCCCCTTTGATGTCAAGATCCTTTTGCTATAAATACTTCCCAGCCCCATGGCATCCGGATAACACTTGCTTTCCCGCCACACTCAAGGCTCCAAGGGGACAGCTGTTGGCAGGTGAACACACATACTGAGAGTGGGTTCCATGGAAATCTTCTCGAAAGTCAGATGTCCTCCCTGGAAAAAGGAGAGTGAAAGTGGAGAGATTTGGAGTAACGAAGTCATTCAAATGGTTTCCCCGAAGAAAGTGAGAGATTAATGAATTGGCTGAGTTTGGCCAAATTTCACTTGGGAAAGGGAAGCTTGAGATAACAAAAAAGTAAATAAATTCTGTTTAGGGTAGGCTTTTTGCGACATGAGCATGTAGTTTGTTCCATAGTCACTCCCAATATATGGTTTTCATATGCCAAAATTATTTTAAAATGTTTTTGAGCCGGGTGGTGGTGGCGTTCGCCTTTAATCCCAGCACTCGGGAGGCAGAGCCAAGTGGATTTCTGTGAGTTGGAGGCCAGCCTGGTCTACAGATCGAGATCCAGGACAGGCACCAAAACTACACAGAGAAATCCTGTCTCGAAAACAACAACAACAAAATGTTTTTGAGCCCCCAAGTTACTTGTAAAAAGATTTAATAAGGCCTTATATAATAGCTTAGATGATCAAATCTCTTGCCATACAGAGGACTTGACTCAACCCCTCAGAATCCACGTAAATGTTGAGAACTATGTGATTTGGAATACTTTGATTCTACACACAGACACACACACACACACACACACACACACACACACACACACACACACACACACACACACGGAAATACTGAGCTAGATTCCCTTGCAAAACTGAACGGTTAGGAGGGGTTCCATGCTGACTTATCAATCAGATAACAACATTGTAACAATCTTCAAGTATGAATGATAAAAATATATTTTTTTTAAATTTTTACTGTCCAGAAACTATGCAGCCAACTTTTTCCTCCTGTGCAGCTATTCATACACCAGTGAATAATATGCCCCTGGGAGAAGTCCTTCTTTCTGGTTAGTCATGTGGGGACTTCTCAGGTAATTCCTTGAACTTAAGAGTATGAGGAAAAATAGCCGCAGTACTGGTTAATTTTTGCCAAGTCAATACCAACAAGGGTCACCTGGGAAGAGGGAATGTCAATTGAGGAATTTTCTCCATCAGGTTGACACATGGGATATTTTCCTGTTTGTTTGTTTATTTTTGATATTGTCATTTAATTAGAACACTTCTCCATTCCCTCTCCTCTCTCCAAACCTTTCTTTATACCCCTTCTTACTCTCATTCAAATTCATGGCCTCTTTTTCTCATCCATTGTTATTGTATGAATATCATTAATGGATATACGAAGGCCCGGTTGACTGTGGGAAGTACTATGCCTAGGCAGGTGGGCCTCTGCTGTAGAAGAAAAGTAGACCAGCAAACCAGAGGGGGAAACCAGTAAGCAGCATTCCTCTGGGGTCTCTGCTTTAGTTCCTGCTTCCTGGTTCCTGTGTGAGCTCCTGTCCTGGTTTCCTGTTATGATTGACTCTAGCCTGTAAGATATAATAAACCTTGTTCTGCCCAAGTTGTTTTTGGGTTAGTGTTTTTATTGATGGCCAAGACAAAAAAGCAGATCAACTTTTCACCTTGGGAAATGTCACCTGACCTCTAGTCTCTTAAATCAGTGGTTCTCAACTTGTGGCTCGCAGCCCCTCTGGGGGTGTCAAACGACTGTTTCACAGGGCTCACCTAAGACCATTGGAAAGCACAGATGCTTACATTATGATTGATAACAGTAACAAAATTACAGTTATAAAGTAGCAACAAAAATAATTTTATGGTTGAGGGCCACCACAACATAAGGAACTGTACTAAAGGGTCTCAGCATTAGGAAGGTTAAGAACCACTGTCTTAGATCCTTCATGGGGAAAATGACCTAGAGAAAATGAAATTGTACTGGATTTAGAGAGGCAAAGGGGAACTGTACACATCTTTGCCGTGTGACTGTCTCTTTACTGCCCTCAAAAAGTGGAATCTGCTCCTGACTCACGTTTGGATGGGTCCTATTTCTTGCCATGACTAAGAATACAGTAAAAGCAATATAAGACTGTTTGATTTGGGCTCTGAAAACTTCTGTTTTCATGTGAAAGACTGAGGCCACCAAGGGAAGAAGCTTAGGTTGGCCTACCAGAAGGTGAGGAAATGTGGAAAGAGGGCAGAGTAACCCAACACCAAGAACCAACCATGTGCGTGAGGTGTATTAGCTACTTTTCTACTGCTTTGATAAAACTCCACAACCAATGCAACTAATGGAAGAAAGGGCTTGTTTGGGCTTATGGTTCTAGATCACTGGTTCTCAACTTTCCTAATGCTGAGACCCTTTAATACAGTTCTTCATGTTGTAGTGACTCCCCCCCAACCATAAAATTATTTTTGTTGCTACTTCATAACTGTAATTTTGCTACTGTTATCAATCATAATATAAATATTTTTGGAGATGCAGGGTTGCCAAAAGATCATGACCCATAGGTTGAGAACCCATGGTCCAGAGAGATAAAAGTCCATCACCTTCTCAGCAGGGCAGCATGGCATCAGGCAGGCAGCTGTGACAGGAAGTTCAGAGTTCACATCTTCAACCCCAACCTCAAAACAGAGCTAGACCATGGGGGATGACCATGGGCTTTAAAACCTTGAAGCCGTTCCAGGGCTATACTTCCTCCAGTAAGACTATTACTCCCTGAACCTTCCCAACAGCGCCACCAACTGGCAACCCAGTATTCAAATGCACGAACCCACGGGAGTCTTAAACAACTACATGTGGTCATTCTGGGTCATGCTCCGCTGTACCTGTGGTGATATTTTATTTGTGCTGAAATGTGGTTATATTTTATTTGTATGTTAATAAATAAAGTCTGCCTGGAGATCAGAGGAAATAGCAAGCTGTTTTAAGTAAACACAAAAGTCAGGCAGTGGTAGCACATGCCCTTAATCCAATCACTTGGCAGGCAGGGTCTCTGTGTGTTCAAGGCCACACTAGGGAACACAGCCAAGTGTGGTGACACACACCTTTAATCCCAGTACCAACTATAGAGACCTGGAGGTCTGTACAGATAGGTAGTGACAAGGAAGTGTGGTAGCTGGGCTAAGATAGCCAAAGAGAGGGCAGAACAACAAGACAATAAAAGCCTGGGTAGACAGGAAGTCGTAGCACTTTGGAAGCTACAAAGCTGGTGGCTATTCCTATTTCCCTGATCACCCCTATATTTGGCTCCGTGTTTTTTATTTAATGAGACCACTTAGAAATTCGTCTGCATGTACCAGGCTTTCTCTTGGGCCAACAACCAGCTCCCAAATCATGACATGGCGACTTATTGTTAGTTGTGAATGCTCGGCCTTAGATTAGCTCTTATTTTAATCTGTTTCTCTTTATCTATGTTTTTGCCTCCGGACTTTTTACCTTTCTTTCTTCCTTCAGTATGTCCCACTTGCACTGCTTCTTGTGTCTGGTTGACTGGTGGCTGCCTGGCTTCTGGCCTCAGGCATGTCCTTCTCTTTCTCCCTCATTCTCTTCATTCCTTCTTCTCTCTTATTTCTAGATTTCTCCTCTTACTTATTCTTTCTGCCTGCCAACCCCACCTAGCCCTTTCTTGCCTAGCTATTGACCATTCAGCTTTTTGTTAGACCAATCAGGTGCCTTAGGCAGGCAAGGCGAAACAAATACAACACATCTTTACATAATTAAACAAACGCAGCACAGACAAATGTAATACATCTTTTCATCCTTAACAAAGGCAGCAGAGACAAATATAACATACCTTCATACAATTAAAGTAAT